GTAACCACTAGGTGAACGATTTGATCTCAGTATGACCTCATTTGTTTCTCCATTATCACAAGAAACATAATTATCATCTGACAGTTCACGTTCTTGAGTCATTTCGTACTCCCATTTCTCTGTCTCTTCATCATCTTCTTTATCCGAGAAACCCAACCGAGCTTTCTTTAGCTCCATAACCGCATTTGCCTTAGATGCAGATACCTTACCCACATGCAAAGATAGTCTCCAGGCATTTGAGCAGAAGTTCTTTCCAGATGGATACTTATCTTCTTGAGTCGAAGCAAGTCTCTTTTTCAACCGGAGAGAGTTTATCTGAGCTCCCGCAAGCAAATTCTCTTCCTTGTCAGCTCTTTCACTCCCAAACAAACACCTAGACCTTCCAGCGACTTCGCCTTCCCCACGAATTCTCCGCAGTTTCTGTTTGTTTAAAGGAGAAGAAACTGTTGCAGAGCCTCTCAAAACAGTAGGATCTCTTTCTTCTGACCATGAATCATCATCATTCTCAGATGGCTGATCATGCAAAGCATAAAATTCATGTCCTTTCTCATTTAGCTTCTTTGAAACCGGACCATGTTTCGCTAGCATCCGCTGGTTATAGATTCTACGATGACCCGCGCTGCTACCTTCTCCAGAAAACCTTCTTTGATACTCCGGTATCTGCTGTACAAGCAATGTATTGTTATTTTATGAATCTTGCTACAAAAAACTAACCATATCTATGCAAAAAAAGATTGACAGGAACTTATGGAATTACCTCTGAAGCATTTGCTTTGTGATTGGTTAGTTTAACATACTTGTGAGGTTTCTTTCCCAATCGTTTTTTCCTCGAGCATTTACTGTTTCCTTTACTACCTTGGCTTAAACATTTCTTCTCATTACTACCATCCTCGCGCTGCTCTCTTACCGGAGTAGAAGAAGTAGGCTTCTTCTCACTAAACCCTGATAAAATCCGCAGTTTTTGTCCCTTAGCATCAATATAAACAGGACCAACACCAACAGGCGAAACTTTCCGCTTCTTGGACACTTGAGACTTATCAGCAACAACACGATTTGTACAACTCAAAATCGACACCCACTGAGTTCCATTTCTTTTATCAAGATCTGCTAATGTGCATCCTTTTGCAGAAGCGTAGATATCAACCATGGTCTTAACTTTCATCCGCGGCTTAGCTCGAGGCTTGCTTGGCTTACTACTAACCGGTGGAGGAAGCGCTGAGTCCACAGATAGACACTGATCGATGTGAGCATTCAAAGTAGTGTTAGAAGCTGATGAGAAGGTTTTGCAAATAGGACACGTTTTCGAAGCCATTGTCGATTCAGAAGTTGACGCAAGACCGACACAGCTATCTTCTTTAGATTTCACCATTCCTCTTCCACACTTTTTACTATTGTGCTTGTTCTTTTTACTTGTAGCTATCTCTAGGTCAGATTTGGAAACACTTGTGCTCGTAAACAAACCATTCTCGATGATCCTGGATTGGTTGAAAACACTTTTCCTAGTACTAGTCTCTGCTATTGCCTGATGTTTTCGATGAACATAGGATACGATTTGCTTCCCCGAAGCAGTGGTCTCAGACTGGTTTCTTACAGTGGAAAATGTCTGAAAG